TATAAATACCCTGAACCATATCTGCATTTATAGATTCAAGTTGGTTATTTCGAAGAGATAAATATTCTAAATTATGAAGATTCGAAAAGGCGCGTGATTCAATTCTTTCAATACCACAGTCTCGAAATTCCAATCTTGATAAATAACCATCGAAGCGTGTGAAAGTATTTTCAGGAAGTTTCTTGATTTTAGATAAAATAATTCGAATTGTGTGTGTTGTTGAAGGTATTAGATTCAATTCCTCAATAGATGTAATACCTCGACAAGTATAAATCGATCTAGATTTTTCATTAATTTTTTCTGGATAGCACGTACCTGTATAAATAGGAGGTTGCGATGTAACTATATGAATTTCTGATGGAGGAGATAAAAGAGGTGGTTGTAATATCGATATATTTGTTTGTTTAATACTATCTTCAAAGGAAGTCCAATGTATTTTTCCAGTGATTAAAGTATTTTGAACAGTTGTCTATGTATATGAAAAAAATCATTTTTGTTAAAGTTTGTTTATTAAAATTTTTAAATTGAATAAGTTAACAGAAATAATTAATGTAATACCTGTTGCTGATGCCAATTGCTGTTGTTATTTAAAATTTCGTTTTCATTCTCGTCACATCGACCTGTGTTAATTTCGAAACCAATATTTTTTTGAATAAGGAAATCTTGGAGATTGTTTCGACAGCTACAGAGCCAGGGATTACCCATAGCATCTAATCTCTCTAATTTTTTCAATTCAGTCAATTCTTCAATAGCTATACATTGAAGCAAATTGTTTCGAATATCTAGATATCGTAAAGTATCTCTCACATGCCATAAAGCGGTTCTTTCTATTTGTTCTATTTTATTTCGTTGTAAAATTAATTGTTGAAGATTGGTAAAATCTCGAAACCAATTAGTACTCAAAATAGGTAATCGATTACCAATCAAAGAAAGCCGTTGTAATTTATGCAAACCTGCAAAAGCTCCGTTTTCGATCATATTAATCCGACAGTCATTCAAATCCAAATTTTTTAAACTATTTCCAAATCTGAAAAAAATATATTTTGGCAACGTATCCATTATCAAACCAGAAATTTGTATCCATGTAGTTTTATCTGGAAGTCTGTTTAGAGAAGTGAGCACATTTGTTTGAAATTCATTTCCATGAATCATCATATGTTGCTGTAATAAAAAATCATTTTTCGTTATTATTGCATATTAATATACTACATGTATCTACCTTATTAAAGTTATAAAACTGTTGTGTCGGAACAGAAGAAAGAATCGGAACTCCAATGGGTGCCATACATTGATATTTTTTACAAATATTAATTTGTCTCAAACATTCCACTTCTTGGACAATAGATCGAGATCGGAAATATTTATTCAATTTTTGTTGACACTCGCAGAGCCAGGGGTTTCCATCAATACGTACAATCCTGAGATTTTGCAGATAAGATAGTTCCTCGATCGATAAGCAGTTAAGATCATTATCGCGCAAGCCTAGAACTTCTAATCTGGGCAGCATACGGAATACATCAGATTCGATATGTACTAAGCCACATCTGTAAACAATTCCGACGTGTCTTGTAATAATTATCTTATTCTATTATCATTTTTACATAATAATAAATTAGCAATGTTAATAAGAACGCTAACATTTGACAAAAAAGGAAATGTTATATTTCCGTATATTATAAATAATTCAGCCTACAATGCTTTTCTTAAATGTTTTTTCAGATTTTAACATTATATTTATAATTTATACTATATTATATATATATATAATATATATAATAATTATATTATAATATAATAATTATTATATATTATTTTATTATTATATAAATTTATTTTAAATCACCGAATTCTTTTTATGTAATCAGTATCGTTTTTATAACTAACTATACCTTGAATTTTAATCCATGAAGTTAAAATAGATCCTAAGAATAGTTAAGTTAAATAATCCGATGTAGTACTTGATGATTCGGCATCGTCGAAGTCCTTAGCATGCCGGTTTATTGAAAGTTAATTGTACTAATTCAATAGATAATATTGAATCTCATTGTTTATAGAATAAACATAAGGGTAAATATATTTTACCTATCTAAAATAAGCTTCCTCAAGTTTGTCAAAGGACGAAACCAATCGGTCTTAATTATATGAATCTTAGTCCCATGGAATATCAGCCATTCTAGCCTATTTAAGCCAGAAAAAGCATTAGGACCGATGAAGTTGATATGACAATTGTAAAAAGAAAGTCTTCTGAGATTTTTGAAGCGCCAGAACATATTGTCTGATATAAGATGAATACGGGATACCGTGAACTCAATCCAATCTGCTTCGTTAGAAACTTCATCGAGGTCATTCAGGTCGCCATGAGTGCAAACGTAGGCGATCGACCGTTCGTCATTTACAATCGGTGCTAGACTACATTTGCACTCTGCGTGCCCAATTAGGGCGACCAACGCCCAGAGTAAAATCAAATGCATCTTCTCTTTCCAATTCTAGACTTGTCGTGTCATCTATAAACATATATTTTCATTTTAATCAAGAGTCAATATCGTTGTCTAGAAATAGTAATAGAATAGAATAGTAACAAGAGATTTAGATCTGATATTAAAACAAAAAGGATTCAATTCATTGTCTAATTAACAATAATTAACAAATATTCATATTGTCTATTGATCATCCTTGATCATCCATAAATTATAAATTTCAGATTATTAAATTTGTTTTGTTTTTAAATTTTTATTTTTAAGTTTAAAATTATATAATATTAAAAATTTTAAATTTAACTTCTTATTATCAATTTCATTTTATAATATTATATTTTTTAGGTATCAAAAACTCATTTTTACTTTGCATACCGGAAGCATCATTGATGCTACTTACCATGGTCACGTTTAGACGATCCAGTCACATTCCTCTCGTTTCAGTTGTCTCCGAGGTTTCACTTTTAAAGATCTTTAAATATTATTATTATTATATTCTTATTTTCTCTCGAATTATCCGTTGATTTCGTACACGATTCACTGATGAAATAATCTTCTTCTGTTTATCATTGTTTCAAACACTGAAATTTTGCGATGCAACATCTTTTTGTTCTTGTAATCCACATTAAAAATATGGAATGGTTAATTAATAGTTTCAGGTATTCAAAATTATTTTCATTAATCTTTATTTTCAACTATTTTCTAATAATATATGAAATTATATCAATATATAATGAAACGAGAACATTTATCTTGAATTACAATTAATAAGACATCATTTTTGCTAGGGAATCACTGAACAATTTTATTATTAATTGGAATGAGTTTCAGTATTTAAAAAAATATAAATAATTATTTATATAAATGGAAATAATTATGCATTATGAACGCATCTGGAAAAAACTTAAACGAATCGGTGGATCGAAACGAAACAACGCGACTGAGCTCGTGATTCTCGTGCTTCCTCATTATATAAACTTCTAAGGCCAAGGTTGTCCTTGTCGTCCGCACCGATTGTAGGTACATACGCCGATCCCCGACCTATCTTTAGCATACGCTGCTCTAGTTTGGCAGAAAAATTAGTCTTTACTATGATGCATTTGCCAAAGTATGACGCGTAGCTACGGCTGCGGCTACGTCTTTATGAATCTAATTCTATTGATCAAATTAGTAGCAAGGTCTGGGTTAGGATTTGAGGAAGTTACCGGAAATTGTTAAGGCAATTTGACAATCGTTATTCTTAATTATTTGCATTAGATATAAATTTAATATATTATTAATATATATGTGTATATATATATATATTAATTAGAAAAATTTTTTAAAAAAATTTAATCGCTTTTTATGCTAACATAATAACTTTAATTAATTCTCATAATTTCAGATAATACAATTCAGATACATAGCTAATTTAATAATAGCTATTGATTCAGATAATAATTTAACTAATTTTTATTATATTGTGACACGAAAGCAAAAATTTTTTATGACATTTTTTTTTCGTTGTTATGTTATATATTTAAACAATTTTTCTTTAATTTTTTTAGAATTAATAGAGTATATTATTATTAGAAGAAGTATCTTGAATTAATAGTTTCGACACATAATAATAATGCACGATCCAATTTTGTCGAATAAATTAAGCGATGCGTTATTCTTCATGTATTTTATCTAACTCAACTATGATTGCCATGTGTTGGGTCATTTAATTTAAATAAGTAACCAAAATTAATTATTAGTTCTCTAACTAATTCATTTTAACGCAATTATTTCATAAAATTTAATTTCAATGAGGTATTGATTTAAATATTATTAATTATAAAATAAATATATTATAATATAAATATATAAATATAAATATATTTAATAGAAGATAAATTTTTATTCAAGGAATATATAAATTGATCCACTTTTGCAGTAATACAATATAACAAATATATCATCAATTAAAGATCAATTCTAATACTTTTTTACTAGTCTATAATATATATTAATATATACTATATAATGTATAATATATAGTATAGTATAGAATTTTAGTATATAATAATATTAGTATAATATGTGCAGATATTAAAATATTTTTTCAGTAATTTAAAATATTTTATATGAAATAAATAAAATAAAAAAATTGTATTAATTAAATAATTTTCAAATTTCATTAATTATTATTTATTTAATGAAAGATTAAAAAATAATATTTTGTTATTTTTTTGTATGATTATCTTTAAAATAATATATCTTTAAAATATCTATGGATTTTACGCAATAATGTAAATAATTAATGTAATAATTGATCACTGTTATACTGTCTATCTATCTGTTCATCTTATCCATCTAAATTGAAAACTATGCATCGTCATTGTAACCGGCAGTCTCTTGCAAGCTGTCGTTCGTGGTGCATGCAGTTCCGCATTTGTTCATATCTTATTCATAGAATTTGTCTCTTATTAATAGATTGTATTTCAAAAAGAAATATTTCAAAAAGAATATTGTGTAATAAATAATTAACTTTTTATGATGTTCAATATAGTTGATAATACAGTTTAAACATATTAGCGCAATGGAATGTGGTAAGTAACTTTAATTTTCCTAATTGCCATAGTTTCTCCATTAGTGCTAATTATTTACGTAATTAGTTAGAACTATTTCTAAACATTCTATAAATCATGATATAATATCCTGTTCTTAAATAATCTTATTATTAATTGTAACAATTAATTTGATTTATTTTATAATCTGAACTAATATTTATTAACTTAACTTTTAGAATGCATCCAAAATAAAAATTTGACAGAAAAATTGCTTATAGGTAACAATTAAAAGTTGAAATTTCAATCAAGCATAGTAAGAGAAAGCCTACGAAAATTAAGCGAAAAATGGATAACAACAAGACTGGATCTCAACTTCGCGATCTATGGTTAGATTTACGTGAGGCGTCACGAGCTGTAATCTCGTCAGGTGGGTAGAACAGGTATTTGGAGCGCGACAGGAGTTTTCCTAGAAAATATTTTCCGCAACTAGTTTCTATCATATGCAAAGGGATTCGCGTGTTACCTAATGCACATGCATAGAAAATGAAATTAATAGCGATTAGGTCAGAAGGTCATCTAGTTCGCGTGCACCAAGTTGACCAAGCTAATCGAACAACTGACCATATATATATTTGCATTCTATTGAACTATCTTCTAACGGGATAAAAACATATATATGACTTTTTTTCATCATGAAATTCTGAAGATATCATAAAAAAACAAGGATTTTTTTCATTAATGTATTGTGACCAATCAAAAAATGAATAAATAACTGGATTTTGTATCTCTGCAATATATCTATATATTTAAAGTTATAAAAATAATTATTTAATTTTAATTTAAACAAAGTTATTATAAGAATTATTTGATTCAAAAACCATATATATTTCATAAATAACAATAACATTGTTGATAATTATTATATACTATTAACCATTTAAAACATTCTTTTTCAATAAAAACATCTCACTATTCTTTATCTATATATTCTTATATAGAATATATATTATATATTTTATAGAATATTATATATTCTATATCTTTTATATATTCTTTATCTTATCTAAAAGTAATTAATTACAAAAAAGGAAACATAATAGAAATTAATCGATTGTTTATATATCAAGTATTCAACTTGTAATAATGCTAAGCGAAGGAACGAACCAAAGAATGAGAGAGAGAGAAACAAGAGAGGTCAGTAGCAAAATAATGTGGAAGGAATGGCATGGATGTAGCCAGTTCGAATTGAACTGCCGAATAGTGCGGATCGTTTTGATTTTAATTTTTTTCGGTCGGTTCGTTCCCTCGTCACAGTGGACATTTATTTATAGTTGATATTGCTACTATAACTATCGAACCATAAAATTGGATATCTATGTGCAGGTGCGATTATAATGAGGTTATATCATATTTTAGAACTTTATATGTATAAAAAAATGTGAGAATTTTTATGAAAATTAACGTAATTTTTAAAATTAGATTAAATGTAGATTTAATTTATGTAGATAATTTAGAAATGTTATGTGTATGTATGGTTACACGAGATAGTTGTAGTCTGTTTAGAGGGCGTTCAAGAAGAAAGATAGGAGATAATAAAGGTTACCACGCGACCCGTTGAATCGTTTACGCGGGTGTTATGTGTGTGGGTTGTCTGGTGTTCTCTTCGGTACCGTCGAAGTTGTTGCTCCCGTTGACAAAGTGTAGGCCGAGGAAACAAGCCAATCACCGCCACACCCTATAACAAAATATAAAAAACGTTCAGATGGAATTATTGATGCATTATATGCATCTCGTTTTTGCTTATTACTTTAATTTTTACAATTCAATTTATAAAATTCAATTAAATTTTAATGAATTATATATCTTAAATAATCCTTTAATTTACTTTTAAATAATTATTAATTGTTTCATGTATTCATTTCAAAACTAATTTTTCTCAATATAATATTTAATATAATAAATCCATATAATCCTAAATATATTATAAAATTTTATTAACTTTACATTAAACATTTTCTGATTTCAAACAAAAAATCGATGTCAAAAATTCTCATATAGTAATGTAAAGATTTGACTATATTAATTCACTATCAAAATATATACAGACAAATCGTTCATAATCAATTTATAGATTAAAATTATTTATATTAGGTTATATCAGTACTCAATCATTCATACAACGAATTTCATAATTTATTAATTACATAATAATCATTTATCTCATAAGCAATATGTAATAATTTGTTCTACAGAAATTTTAATTTAATAGAAATTACACTTAATACTTAATGCTAACATCGATTAATTACACATTCATATCTTATGGATTAATGGATTTTATAACATTACATTATTCTATCAAACAATTATTTTTCTATATTTATTTTGATTGGTTTTTGTATATATAATCCAAAGATCTTATAACTTTTTACAGTTATTTTTTTATTAGATTAGGTTACATAATACTATCATATTATAAAATATACTATAAATTATACTATAAAATATATAAAATATAGACTATATAGAATATAGACTAAATTATTAATTAAAAATAAATTATATAATATTATATAAAAAATAAAGATCTAAAAAAATTCATAAATTATTTTCAAAATACAAAAGTCGATAATATATTCAAAATACAAAGAGTTAAGTTTAAAATTTGATTATTTTTTTTGTTTGTTATGTAAACTACTATAAAACTATTATAAAAAAATAGGCAACAATTACGAATTTAATATGTTTATTGCGAATATTTCGCATAAGCCACAAATCCATAAATACGGGATAATACTTATGCACGTATGTACAAAACGTAGTTATATACTATACATACATCTTTATTATTGGCCGAGAATTCGTATGCACAGCGAAGTTCGATGAACCTTTACAGCTACGTATACAAACGTGTATCCTTTTGATTGAAGTTCTCTCTAATATACACATTCACTGAAAATCCGCTAGATTTTCAAGTTGCAAGTGTATTTAGTTATAAATAATTTTTTAATATTCATTCATTTATACTTAAATACAAATTATTAAAAATTTTCTATTTATTCAATTCATAATTACATTCTCAAATTTATAAAATTTTAATACCTTTTATAAGATTTTAATATCTATTATAAGATTGAATATTTATTGAGATTATCAAAAAACTTAAATGCAAATAAGTTTCCAAATTACAAAATAAATTGATCAACGAAGTAGATAATTTTCAATACTTTATTAAATTCAGAAATTTAGTATATAAATATTCGCGTATCTATTATCATAGATATCTTGATGAACATATATATATATATCTATAGATATTTCTCGACTTATTGTGATTATTTTATTTCTTATCAGAATTCTTATCTCAAATTTTCTATATACACGGGAGTGATAGAATAATTTCAGTAATAAATGTTCTATAAGCAACGCGTTATAGATTAAGAAATTTGTGATTTCAGTGGAAATTTTGAACTAATTAGTAATCGAGATTTTTTACATCAAAAAGATTATATATTAATTTCAAAAATTCACTTAGATTTTCTAAAAATGTTTCGCCAATTACTGGATGCTCTAGGAGGAAATACGGTATGCTTTGTTCTATTGTAAAATTCGAGGAAAATCACTGAGAGATTCTGTCCTTCCTAAGATATTTCTAGATCATACGTTTATTTGCATTTTTACATCTTGCATTTTCGAATGTCCTTCATTTCTATAATTATTTAGACACGTTTGTTAGTAACCACTATTAATACATATCCACAACGCGAACAGATCAAATTCATGTTCGTAAGAAAAGATATCTCGTCAAGGATGTTACACTTGTGGTTTCAACATTGTACCTGTATTATTAATTCAGATATATTCACATGTGTTCTCATGTGTAAATACGAAAAGATTATTTCAAGACTAATTTATATCGTATAAGGGAATAATATATTATATATAATATATATATAATATAATTATATATACATATATTAATACATATATATTATATATAATATATAATTTATATATATGTATAATTTATACATATATAATGTATAATTATAAAATAAAATACATATATATATTTTTATAAATTTA